GGAAGCATTGGACGACCGTTTCGTCCCATTGTGGGACGCCTCAGTAATAGTTGACTTCATTCATGATAATATTAATGTTCATTTTTATGCATTAATTGACAAAAAAACGATTTAATCTTACCTAAAAATTGAAATCTGTTCTAATATAAGTAGTATATTAGTAGGCACTTAAAATTACTTAAATTAACCTACACACATGTGATATACCATGATTAAAACTTAACAAAAATAATCATTTATAAATCTTTACTATATAAAATCTCTTTGTATCGTGTTTTTTCTTGTTAACAAATAGAACGCTATATAGTACTTAAATGAATCATTAAGGATCTAATTCATAATCGATGTGATTTGAAATATTATTAATTGTAAATTATTATCAGTAGGGGTTTTGTGGAGATTGTAGTAATTTCAATAGTTGAGATCATGAGTTAATTGAAACTAGACCACCATGGAAAACTTGGAAGCACTGGATGGTCTTTTCGTCCTATTGTGGGACTCAGCAGTGCGCATCCACGATCCCGTACCCCTCGATATTCGAACCCATGATCTATCAGTCTCGTGCGCAAGCGCTTAACCATTGAACCACTGAGCCGGCGTCAAGCGTGTTAATGTCGGACTTCAACCAATCCACGAAGTTGTGCCACCGCACACCATTGTCTTCAGTGAGTTCATATCTCACCATAGACCTGGTTGAACTCCACTGGTAAAGGATTCTCACTAGAATTCCAGGAAATGCCTCTTGAATCCCAAGGGGTGCGGGAGTCCCATAATAGGACGAACCGCCCGTCCAGTGCTTCCAGGTTTTCCATAGTCGTCTAGTTTCAATTGACACATGATCTCAACTATTGAAATTATAAATTATGTTTAATAATACAATATACTTCATTATATAATTTACTTTTCAATTTAATTCATTTTAATAGATCGTCAAAGCTATACAAGTATTACGAATACATTTATTGGAATTACATAAAGTAAATGAATTATGTAAAGATTTCTGTTCCCGGTATATTTACAGTTTAAAATCAAAATTTCAATCAGATCCACTTATTCATGGTAAGTAACATTTAAAATAAAATAAATAATGTTCAATTTGATTGTTATAATAAAAAAAGTGGAAAATATCAATTCTGTTAGGATTTTATAGTTTTGAACGAATAGTCTTGTCAAATTACTACTGTTGTTATGAAGGTAAAATTAACTGTTTCATTATTTTAAAAAAATAATGCGTTTTATTCTGAAAGGCTGTTAATTGTGAACACAAGTCAACGTTATTAGATATCTAAGGAACACTATTCGTATTAATCTATAGAGTCACTGATTGTTGAGCTAAGCTATGTGCAGAGGTTCAAATTATCTTGGTCACTTCTACAGTACTCACCCAGGAATCAAATCCAGGACATAAAGGTTCAGAGGTGAACGGCTGACCACTAGAACCATTAGGTTGGTCGCCAGTAGTAAAATTTCTACTTCAATCTATTCTGTAATATAGTATAACGATCATCCAAGACTACTGATACTTATTGTTTCACTTCCGATATATCTGAACTCCATTAGTCACAACTGTGATGAACATAACCTACAAGTTATATCAATTTCTACAAAAATCCTTCAAGTATTCACCAAATTGTTTGGAAATCAATCAACTTGAAATTTATCACAAATCTAATTGAATCGTATCTATCTCATTTTTTAAAATAATGCGTTCATCTGTATCGAATTTTATAAATGTTTACTGATTGACAAGTTCTGAACATTTATCGCATACATTCGTATTATAATAGAAATCAGGAAATGATTTACAAAGTTTCTAATTATCCTCCCGCCATGCAGATAAATGTAACCTTTCTGAATTAATATATCTAGTCTTGAAAATCAATTATTAACGATTCTGTAGGTAGGTTTCTAAGTCAATATTGGAAATGTAACTTCCTTTTGAACAAATTAAGTTTTGGTTACTCCCTTTCATTTATTTTTTCTGTTTTTGTGTTGTCTCTCCTGATTCTCGATTAGTTTACTGCTTTCATATTTATTATCAGTTCATTCAAAATTTACGCGAACATGATAACTTGAGTTAATTTACCGTAATAGTTGGTTGAATGCAATCATTTACAAGTTCAACACAAGTTTCATGCTAGTTGAGGCTTTTCAGTAAGACTTCCTAGTAATATTGAGAAACTCGATAATCAGCAGAGATTTAGATCCATATAAACAATTATGGCGGTCAAAAGCATTATCATTGAGCTAATCGATTTTAAGTGTCTGTACTAATTGATCACTTAAAAATACTGAATGTTATAATTAGTCATAAGTGATGATCAAATTCTGCTTTCTACATTTTAATATACCCAATAAATTCAGAAGCTTAAGACTGATTGTTAATAGCTTGTTTTCATACTTAATGCTTAGACGTAAACTCCACAAAATTCTTTAATTAGATTATCTTTTATAATATGTAATTATTATCAGAATAGGTTTTATGGAGATTGTAGTAATTTCAATAGTTGAGATCATGAGTTAATTGAAACTAGACCACCATGGAAAACTTGGAAGCACTGGACGGTCGTTTCGTCCTATTTTGTGACTCCTCAGTAGTGTGCATCTACGATCCCGCCCCTGCGAGATTAGAACCCAGGGCCTATCAGTCTCGCGCCAGGCGCTTAACCAACTAGACCACTGAACCGGCATCCAATGTGTTAATGTCTAACTTCAACCAATCCACGAAGTTACGCCACCCTACACCATTGTCTTCAGTGAGTTACTATTTCACCACAGACCTGGTTGAACTCCACTGGTAAAGGATTCCTACTAGAACTCCAGGAGTATCTCCTGATGTCAGTCACTAGTGAGCGGGTGCTTCCAGGTTTTCCATGGTGGTCTAGCTTCAATTGACTCGTAATTTCAACTAGTGATAGGTGATTATTATCAACAATATATATTCGTTCTATAAACTCTGTGTTATTTCAATCATTTAATAATTATACTAATAGTAGACAAACAAAAACAAATCTTCTACTACACATATTGTTTCATTCAAACACCTTTCGGTTACTTTTTGTTTCTATCTGTCATGTTAACTTGAGTGAAATTATTGACTGAACAGTATTAACATGTTATTATTTCCTGTGAACAACTTTCTCAACAAATTGAATATTTAAAAAAAAACAATGAAAGGAATCAAAATCAATGTAAAGTTACCTACAACTCTTTTTTGACTAAATTGTACTTGATACATACGTATCATGGATTCATTTATACAAGTAATATTAGTATTATTATTATCATTATGAATTTATTCCGATTGATTATCCTGTTGTTTTGTTTTATATAGAAAACAAAAAATGATTATCATTTCTATTATTTAAAATAAAGTTACATTTATTCTTTAGAATTTCTCGATATTTTTTTAGAAAAGAAAAAAAGAAAGTTTTCATGTGGGTACACATAGATAATTTAGTTGTCCAAATTAATTTAAGTGAAGTGGAAGCTACTACTATTACCATTATTGTTATTATTATTATTATTAGTAGTAGTAGTAATAATAATAATGATAGTAATGGTAATGGTAATGATAATAGCTATTCTTTTCTGAGAAGCGAACGCCGACACGTATTCACTTATATTCTTCGTCTATATGTCTAACTAAATATGTCTCTCTCTATATGTGTCATAATTTTTAACTCACACTTTTGAATGTCTTTATTTCATGTTTGAAATAGTATTTATTTCCGCCATCACTTTCATATAATATTAGATTATTATTTTATATTTTTTAATTTTTTACTATATTCATATTGATGTTGTTGTTCGTGATGGTGGCACTGGTACTATAGTAGATTTGAGGGAGGGCCATGAAAAAATAGATAAATAGACGATTGAATATATGGATGGATGGACGGACGAAAGAAGTTGACTAACTGACTGACTGAGTGACTGTTTAGCTGAATAACTGGATGAATATAATGTACTAAATCGACTGGGCGGACAAAATAGAAAACGGAAGCCGATTTCACAACGAGGACAAGAACTTAACTATAGACAAAAGTATTATCATCATTATTATTGCCACTATTATTATACTGATAAATACTAATATTAGCAACATATGGACTAGTAGCCTGTTTCCATGACATTTTTCTTTTCCGGCTTTTTTTCCTTTTAATATGTCATCAAGCATATAAACTTTAATTCTTATTAAAAACGAAAACACATAATTGTAAACTACTGGATGAAAAATCCGATTATGCATAGGAAATCACTGATCAATAATAACCTAATCAATAAGAAAAAGTAAATCATAAGCTTAAGTGTTCTATAAATATTAACAGTTTATGAAATCAGAGAAGTGGTGTTTCGTTCCTTAATCATCGACCTTCGTCAATCTTTTCGAGGAAATCAATATTCGCTCCAAATTTTACTAAATTATTTGAACTAAAACACTGAATATGACTTACTGGTTTGTCTTAAGCAGGAAAGTAGAAGTTCAAAATTTTATTACCAGACCTGATTGATGGTAAAATCTTAATTTTGTTGAGGCTTGTTAACTACATTTATTTTACTCAGTTCTGTTGCTTATATGAACTAGAAAACACAGATATGTATTAATTAAGGTCATTTAATCTTTTCGTTTTTGGTCAAACTTAATTAGTCATTTGAATGTTAAGCATCACTTGAAATTCATAAATATCCTTGGCTCGATCCCCGGCAAATGCCTACTTCTGAGGGATCCAACATTATGACGAAACATATTACCACTACTTTCTAGTTTTTAAGTAACTGTTTTACTATAATCATTCGAAGATGTAGTGCATGAAATTCGATAATCAGTATAAACGCTCTATACTGAATACATTTGAATATGTAATGAAAGCTATCAGTTTTATTTCTGTCTAAGATACATTTCAATGAGAAAATCTTATGTACATTAAAGTAATAAGGGTGATGTAATTATGATAAATTATAGTTGGTTCATGTAAATCGTTTCGACACAGAAAACACTAAAAATATTATTTTAAAAACAAGAATAAATAGTTATATAGGCATATAGATATATACACCCCCTCTTTCACTCTCGTTTCATTCACTACCCGTCTTGCATTCAACTTTAAGTGTAAAAAATATAAGAAGGCTAGTGAATTGCTTAGTAAATCACTGAATGACTGATTGAAATGTAAAACGATGCTAGAATACTAGGATCATTATGATTGACAATGAAAAAGAGTATCATGATTGACATCCAAGTGTATATTTTTTTCGGACAAATTACTTTCATATATATATATATATATATATATATATATATATATATATATATATATATAGTTTATGCACGCGATTATGATTATTCTGTCGTTGTAAGCATTTGTAGATTTTCAAAAAAAAAAATCAGTACGTATATGCTTATGTTTATAAGTATATAGATTGTATATTTATGTAAGTGCTGATAGAAAAGTAAAGTATCAAATAATGGACAAAATAGTAATCCGTATACTAGATACAGGGTAAACTATACACACCCCTACATTTGTACACGTACAAACATACATGAAAATAATTTTTTCTTTTAAAAAATGCGTAACTTTCGATAAGCAAACAAAAGAAAATCATAAAACGAAAAACGAAAATTTTTTTCTTTTCACTTTCTTCAATATATCTCAATAGAAAATCCTATTCGGTTTGAAAATCATAGAAAATTAGTTAATGCTTTTTTCGTTGTTTGGAATATCCATTTACATTAAGACTGTCTTGAGTTGAATAAATAAATAAAATGCTGTCTAAATATAGTAATTTATGGCGTATACCTTCATTATTGTTATAATCCAGTCTTGGATTATTAGTCCTCACCTTCTTGTTTTCTTTTTTTAAACAAAGGAGTATACTGTAATTAGTAAACGTTGTCATAGTTACTTGTGTAGCGCAATAGTTATAATATTATATAACGCTTGTAGTAGATGAACACTAATGTTTTTCATCTATGAGCTGGTTTTGTAACACAGGAAGTTAGATAGGTTAAATATAAATCAAGAAATTATTCATTTTTATTTGAGAAAACTATC